GGCAGAGCAGTTTTTAACCAGGTTTCCTTGCACTGCAAATGTAGAAGGGAAAGATCCACTCAGAATTAAACATCTCAGAATTAAACATCTCAGGGAACAGCTCCTGAGACAGCGGGAACACTTTTCCTAAGAGGCACATTCTATTTTTTAATCTGCAGTATGGTAATTCCCTATTTATAATGTCTCAAATTATTCTTTTCCTAATTGTGGGGTTTTTTGGTGTTTTGGGTTTTTTTGGGTTTGTTTTGGTTTGTGTTTTTTTTGTTGTTTGGTTTGGTGTTTTGTTGGTTTTTTGGTTTTTTTTAAGCAGTGGAAAATTGGTTTCTATAAGGGTTTTGCAGTACATCACCAGGTTGTGGATTCAGTGACTCAGAAAGTCCTTGCACTTCCACCTCCCATGAAACAGCAAAAGCTGAAAGTCCTCTTATCTGCTCATAACTCTCCTATTACTTTATACATGGAAAGGCAACCTGTATATATATGTATAAAAGATATATATATTGGTTTAGAATAATTCATCCAGAAATTGCTGGACAAGGGCTGCCACTACAAAGAGGGGAGAGAAGCAATGTTTTTTGTTAAATATGGCATTACTAAGGCTAAGCAACAGCTAAAAGCCATCCCATTAATAACTGATGGGTGTTATATCAAACAAAGGGAATGTCTTGAGGAAGCTGGTAGTTTCTTTCCTAGAATATCTCTTAATCATGCCACATAATCTCTCTTTGAGTGAGAAAAACATGTGCAAATCCCTGTAAATCTCCTCAAAGGTGTAGAAGAGCAGCAGAGAGGATCCTCAGCTGTGCACTCTCTGGCTGTAAAGGAGCTGCTGGTGGAAAGAGAAAGCAGCGCCCAGTGGCAGTGGGATGATGAGTTTTTAATCATTATTAATTGTAGTGCTATAGCAGATTGCCTTGTACTGGGTGAGGGAGGCTACTTTTCAAAAGTGAGCTGCTGAATGGTTTCTTTTCAGATCATTGAGTAAAAAAAGAAAATAAAATAACCACCTAAATGTCGCTAAGGCTGTATCAGCTGCAGCCACTGTATTCCACAGTTCTCTTGTTGTATAGCTTAATACCAGACTTGGAAATAGGCTGATGGTATCTCCCTCCTAATTGCATCCGTGTCTTTTCAGTTTGGGGAAAGAATTTTCCTTTTCTTACATGATTTAGGGAAGCATCCAGAATCCTTTAAACAGGCCTCATTTTTTCTATCGACACCCAACCCCCTCCTTTTCTTTTTTTTTTTTTTTTTCCTTTTAATAACAGGTCTTAACAGTGCTGGAAAAGTACTTGATATGGTCCCAATACACAACACACATTCTCATCTCTGGTTCTGATTTAGGAAACACATCTGAGTTAGGAAGTTTTTGCAATGCTATGTTGAAAAACATCTGCTGATCTTGGAGACCAGTTGAATATCTGGCACTTCTTTAAGCTACCTGGCTTTCCAGCTTCGCAGCTTGCCAGTGTATTTTTCATGATGTTCACTTTTTAATTATCCCCAGTGTTTATGGTTGTCTTTGGAAGTCTGAAGCAGGAACATTTCATTGCACTGGGAGCTGTTTCAAGGTGGGGTTGGTAGGAGGGGAGTTTTGGGATTAGGTATCCCAATGCTCCTTATGTGCAGGAAAGTACAGGAGCATAAAGGAACACGAGCAGAGCCCTTTGAGCTGGATTCCTTGTGGTTCAGATAATGCAGTGTTTCTGCACACCTCTGGAATACATGGAATTCCCACTGAGGGAATCGCCACCACACGCCCTGAGGGGATGAGTGTGTCGCTGGGCTGTCTGCCTTCCAGCAGCCTTTTTGCTCTATCCTCTGCTCCCTCAGCCCAGCCACCAGCTGTGGGTCAGCAGATAAAGAATCAAGCTGTGTCTGGTGTGTGCGGGGTCAGGGAGAGGTTCTGGCATGGTGCCCAGACATCCCAACTGCGTGGGGCCCCTGCTGCGGACCTCCTGCTTGCCCTGAGAAATCCAGTGTGGGGCAAGGGCTCAGACAGCTGGGTCTGAGGGAAAGGAGGAGTGGAGAGTCCCATAAATAGAGGGGTCTGATCCTGGTTCATCTGGATCTCTGGAAGAGGTAGGAGGAGGAGGTGTTTCAGCCTAACACCTTGCTCAGTAAGTTAGACTGGACTAAATGGAGTCCTCCCAGCGATTCTGCCTCATTTCTTCCAGAATTCTTTGAATGATCAAAGCCACTCTTTGCACTCCCAGTTGCTGAGGTGCTTAAACCATCTGACCAAGTCCTGTAGGAACTGGGGACAAGAGATGAGCTTCCATTCCCCAGGTCTGGGTTTGGCCTTCCACAGCACAGCCCCTGCTTGCAGAGAGCCTGTAGGTCCCAGCCCTCTGCAGCTTTCCTGCCCCTGGGGCTGCAGCAGGAATCTGCCCATCCTTTACGAGTTTTCTACTTTTCCCATGGCTTGGGGTTCGTGCTGGATAAGGACTGAAAACAGGTTCTCCACAACAGTCCTGTGCCTTCAGTAATCCCAAATCTGTTTGTTGGCTCAGAGGAAGGTCAGGCACTCCTCAGGTGGCAGCCAGCAAAGCCATCCCTGAGGGACCTGCACCCCTTCCTGTCACAAAGGGCAGCAAAGGCTTCGATGAGCAGTGGTGGCAACTTGGCAGGTGACTCACCATGCTGGGCATGGCTTTCTCCAGACACGTGATTTTTCTTACAAGAGGGAACAAGGACATTTCTGAGGAAGCAGAAAAGGCTAAATACATTTTTAATAGCTAATTTCAGAGTATGTACCTTTGGAGTAGCCAACAAAAATAAATATGACTGAGCTGCTAATACAAAAAACTGAACCATTCTCAGCTTAACATTACAGATGGAGAAACAATTGATGCTGTGGTGAGAAAAAATTGATGCTGGAGCATGTCTAGAGAAGGGCAATGGAATGGATGAAGGGACTGGATTAGAGCAGAAGTCTTGAGAGAAGTGGCTGAGGGGGCCAGGAGCCTCAGCCTGGAGAAAAGGAAGCTTAGGGGAGACCTTATCACCTTCTACAATTCCTTGAAAGCAGGGTGGAGCCAGGTCTCTGCCTGGATCAGTCTCTTCTCCCAATTAACAAGCAATAAAACATGAGGAAATGGCCTCAAGTTGCACCAGGGGAGGTGTAGACTGGATGTTAGGAGAAAATTCTTCACTGAAAGGATGTTCAGGCATTGGGACAAGCATCCCAGAGAAGTGGTGGAGTCACCATGCGTGGAAATGTTCAGAAAATGTGGCACTTGGGGACTTGATGTGGTGGTGAACAAGACAGTGCTTGGGTTAAGAGTTGGACTTGATCTCAGAGGTCTTTTCCAGCCTTAACTGTTCTAAGATTCTATGAGTTTCTTTGGGGTTTGAAAATTCTCACAGTTCTGGAATGAGGGGAGATACATGAAAACCAGGGGGATCTATTTAAAAGGGACACTAGAAAGTGCTTTTTTACACAGCAGGGAATTTGTTTCTGCTGGAAACGGTGAGATGGATGTAACATCAGCAAGTTCAGAGGGAAAGAGAAGGTAGGGATGGATGTGCTCTACCAATGATTGTGGATGCCAGGAAGAGTTTGAGGTGACTGGGCTGCAGACAGTGGCCAGACTTGTGTGCCCCTCCTCAAGATTGTCTTTTCCTGCAGCTGCTGAAGCATCATTAGCTGGGGGAGGTGCACCATCCTGCTCATCCAGCAGACCATTTCCTGTGTTCCTCTGCTCTTTAACTAATGAAGTAACTGAAGTAACTGTCTATGCAATTGAATTTTCCTCACTCTAATGTTTATTTGTTTTTTTGCCCTCCCAACTTCTGTTGAAGGCGAGTTTTGCATTGCTTTGCCAAGAAGTTCACTTTCCACACTTGGCTGATGCTGACATGCATTTATCCAGATTATGGACACATGGTTGTGGTCACTCTTGTCCTCTGGCACAATAAATTCATTCACCCTTTCTAAATCCTCTGTTATGGTGAACATCATCCCCAAAAATATGCTTATGGACACAATCCATGTGTGTTCCTCATGACTTCAGTCCATAAATGAATCTACCTTGGGAGTCATTGTTGGGCAGCAGTTTTACACCCCACAGTTGCTTATAAACTGCAGGAAAAGCTGGTGACTTACACACCAAAGGAACCATCCTAGAGCCAGAGTGCCTCCACTGCTCTTTGCCTTGGGAATTTGCTGTCCTTGGGGAGTTTTTCTCTCCATCTGACTGTGTCTCCACTTGTGCCTTGGTTTGGAGCAACAGAGCAGTCTGGAAGTGCATCCCATGGTCATCTCTGCTTGACCAGTGTTGGTTGGGGCAGCAGAGCAGTTTTGGAGCACACTGGTAGAACCCTGTCCCAGGGGCAGGGCAGATGTGCTTCCCCTGAGCAGGGATCTGGGGATCTGACCCACTGAGGGCTGCCTGGCATGGCTTCCAGTCAGAAAATATGGGCAAGCTTGGTCCAAACAACACTGGGGACCAGACCAAGTCTAGGCTGAAGTAAACACTTGAACTTTGTATATTGTTCTTCTGGGGACCTCAGTTTGTGGGGACCTGAGTTTGAATCTGCTCCTTTCATTCCTTTCATGCTGTGTGACTTGATGTAAACAGAGCCTCTCTCTCAATTAATGGCCTTTGTTTCCAAGCTGTATTCTTTTAAGATCAATAAAGTGTTTTAACATTAACAACTTGATTTCACTGAGCCAAGCTCTGAAAATCTGGATTTTACTTGTTTTAAAGGAGTTGTAAGTTCTGGGAACTAAGACTTCCTTGATAATACTAAAGGAAAACCCATATGACTTGGACTCTGACCTCGTGATGGGGTTCATGCCATCAGGCTTTGGAAGTAAATTGTTTTATCCCCCCTTAAAAAGGTCAAGTCTTCTGTGGTCAGGGGGCAGGAAGCTGGAAAATTTGCAATCTGTTGAAAAATGTGTTCCCTGTGTCTCCTTATGAGTTTCATGCCCTCAGAAATGAGATTTTCACGAGGAGGGGAGGTATGGGGTACAGGTAGGAGAAGGACCTAATCAATCTTAATCTCTGAAGTGCTCATGCAGTAAGTGTTTAAGCATGTGATTAAGCCCATTCTTATGCAGCGAAGCATTTCAGCACAGGCTTTGGGGTGAATTAAGCATGTGTTCAGGAATGCTGGATCAAGGTCACTAAGCTTTCCAAGAGTCCCATGCCTGTTTGTACAAACTGTCCCAGTGACTTCTTTTGGCTCATGTTGGAAGGAACTGGCTGCTCTTCCTTAAAAGCCAGACTCTGTAAGGTGAAACTGGATTCAAAATGTTAATTTGAATTTGGGAGAAGCAGTACCTTGAGTCCTTGATTTAAGCAGTAATAGCAAGGAGGGCTTTTAAAGGAAGAAATTAATTTTGTTGTATTTGAGGACACAGAGCTAAAACTACTTCAATTACATGAATAAATGTGCTTTGTGCTCTGTATCAGTAGCAGGACTTCGTGTAAACCCTGGGAATGGCACTTGGGAAGTGACAGAATGACCCTTTTTGTATCCACTCCCTTCCCTTCCCTTGGATGCCCAGGTAGAGCTGGGAAAATGAGGCAGGCACAAACACCAAATGTGGAGGGTCTGAAGCCCCACTCATTCATCTGCCTGGCTAATCCAACTTTAATCCCAGTTTCAGGCATTAGATTAGCAAAAGAGCAGGATCTCTGGGCTAGAGGACAGAAGTAGAAAGCAGAGAGGGTAACTTTGCCTGGCTTCAAAGGAAAGATGCAGTTTAACTGAGCGAGCAGTGGAAGCAAGGGAATGGTTAGAGGTTTGCCTTCTTGTCCCAGACACATTATTTACAGTGGGTTGGTTTCCTTTTGGAAGGGCCCTCTGTAAAAGGAGACATTCCCAGTGTTTCTGTGGGTTAGACCAGTATCACATTACTGTTTTCTTTCCTGGACTCTTGACTGACATGATTTCCTGAAGTTGCTCTTCTCTCGGGAAGGTGAGCTCAGGAAAGAGTAGGTGTTTCTTAAAAATCCAGGGTCTTGGAAAGCAGAATCATGGGGATGGTCTCCTCGTTCTAGACAGGTCAGTCCTCAGTGCTGCATCATTCTCTTTATCTCCCAGGGCAGGGCAAGGGCTGGGAAAGGAGTGGGAGACAGAATCCTTCAGGTTTGATAAGAGAGAGGTCTGTAAATCCTGTTGGAGCAGCCTGCAGAGGCCATGGCAGGAGCCACAGGAGCTGCACCAGGCCAGCAGCCATCCCTCCTGGTGGGCAGGGAGGTCAAGGGCAGCTGACCTGGATTTCCTGATCCCTGCCTTTGCTTAAGCCACCTTCCTGCCCCCAGGCCACAGCAGACAGCGTGCTCATCCTGGTAAGTGTTTCCTTTACTGCTTTTTTTTCTTCCTTGTGAAATAAACTGTGGCTTGGCATTAAAGCCTGAGTGCTGAATGAAAGTGAAGTTCTGGCTTGTTTCTCCTGTCAAACACTTCACGAGAGTGTTTTCCTTGATGCTCAGTTGCTTGGAAGGAAGAGATGTGATCCTCTTCTCATCTGCAACATACCCATGTTTCTTTACAGGTGTCTTCTGAGTGGTTTGTATGGGACAACAAACACATCGAGGTAACACATCACTGTGGGACACCCTGCAGCAACCCTAGAGCTGCACAATCCCCAAAGTATTTTTGACAGGAATATCAGGATTGAGAGGTTTGGATCTGACTGATCCCACCTGAAGCCCATCAGAGCTTAGGGTGAAGATGCTCATGCAGGGAGAGGAGGAAGCACACTCAGAAGTGTTTATTATTGCTGTTAAATGACAAGCTGCCTTTCCTTCCCCTCCCTTTCCCTGCCAGGGAGATAGGGATCTCTGCTGTGGTCCCTGCTGCTTTCTTTTTCCTGTGTTGATCCACGGTGAGGCTTGCTTCCTTTGAAGGATACTCTCAGCTCTGAGAGAGGCTTTTATTGCTGAGCCACTGACATTTGATTCAGAGCATGTGTCTTCCCCTGGGCCCATTGCAGATTCCCACTGCCACCCTGGGTAAGTTGCTTGGGCTCATGAACATGGTAATTATTCATTACAGAAATAAGAAATGAACAGTTAATTTCATATTTAACAGCAAAAAAAAAAAAAAAAGGCAAATGAAAAACTGTGTTTTCTTTCTGTTGTGTTCCTACCCTTTATTAGCTACTCAACACAAGCATCATAATATGGACAGGAAACACAGCAAGTGAAAATAATAAATCACCCTCCTTACTGTACAGCAGAGTTAATGGATTTCTGTGAGGCAAGGAAACAAAAAGGCCTTTTGTCCTGCCAAAAGAGCCTCACTGGAATTGATCTAAAAACCCAAATAATTTACTGATCCACAGCTAGGAGAGATGGCAAAATGGTCAAAGTGTCCCTGTGCTAGATCTTGCTCTGGCTGCTGGATCCACTCCTGTTCCTGTTGATGGATTCTGAGGCTGTTTTCCTGCTGGTCAGGGCTCCTTTCAGAAACTGGAGCACCAGTGAAAGGCCAGTTTTGTGAGTAAACATCCTAACAGGCAGGTCCTGACAGATGGTTTGCTGCTCAAGCCCCACATAACCCTTCAGCTGGTGTGGGTGTCTCCCACAGATGTTTCCCAGGAGAATGTGCTCGGGAGCTCTCAGCTCTCACAGCACGTCCGGCTGCATCCCAAGGAGGAGCCTCGGTGCTTGTTTGACACATTGCAGGTGTGTCTTGGGAACAACAGGCTTCCAAAAGCATGTTTCTCATAGTACAGATAAATTTAGGTTCCCAGTGGAGCCTGTTGGTGGCTGGACAGGGTAAGTAAAGGTGCCTGTGCACGGTGGCCGCTGCTGCTGTCACTTGGTCCATGAGCAGTGAGAAATATTCGGCGTTATGTGAAGCAGAACAAGACACTTGAAGCATCTTTCAGTCCCTTTTGTTTTGATATTGCTCCATCTCAATCTTTCCAGAATCTGCTCCCCACATTTTTTAGCAAATCACAGAATAAATGTCATTTAGGCAGTGATTTTTCCAAGTGAATCTCTTCTTTTCCCCCATTTCCTTTGTCTGAGTTTGCTGAACTGTTCTGAACCCCATGACACTGTAGTCACAATATCAGGTGTGCTGTCCTCAGGCAGATCAAATATTTCCACTAGATGGATAAATACAGAGATTTTACCTCATTCTCCTCCCATGGTGAGCTCGTGGGACTGTAAGATTGTTCATATCATCTGTCTTCCAGAGCAGATAATTTAGACTTGGCTGATTTGTATATGCCTGCAATGTTCCTGCTGGGCTGTACAGGATGTACAACTCTCTGCCCCTGACCTGAGAGCAGCTGGAACTGGACTGATGTGCAGAGGCGGCTGTTGAGAGGAAAATGAGCTGTCCTGAGAGGGTGTCTGCTAGGAAGGGGCTTAAACAGGAGATCATGGTTTGGGAAAAAAGTTTAGTTTTGATGAAATTAGGCTGAATTCCTGCCAAAGTAGAGCAGAACACAACCAGGTAGAAATTCTGCAGAAGGGAATAGTGCAGGAGCTTGCACTGTGGGTTGTTTCAAGAGCTGATCCATGGATCTCTCAGCCTCTCTGCTGGGTTTAATGGGTTCTGTGGATGCTCTGGTGGTTCCTGCCTGAGATGGTCCAATGTCTGGGACATCCCAAGCTGAGAAGTTTGGAGCAGTGAAATCCCCTCTTGCTGAGCAGCCTATTTGGCAGCAGGCTGCCCCAGGGCCCTGGGAACCTGAATGGTGGAGGAACCAGATGGGTGACCAGGCAGGAAACTCAGCAAGTTTCTGATGTTTGGAGCCCTGTGCAAGTTTCATGAGAACCTGGGCAAAATTGACTCACCTTGCTGAGATTTTGCTGAATTGGTGAATTCCTCTGAAATGCTGTTTTGCCTGAAACCTTCTGAGCAGGTGCAGTATCTCCAGATATCTTTTGAAGACAGAGACAAGGCATTGCCCTGTGCTTCCAGCGTGGGGCTTTGGGAGTCAAAGGCACACTTGCCTCTGCTACTGAGCCCTCTGCCATCTTGAAGAACTCTCCCTCACACTCTTGAAGTGGTGTGGAGGAGGGAGGACACAGGAACTTGGCACTGATGAGTAGAGGATGCTGACAGGTTGTTCTGATCCTTAGAAAATCATTGTGTTCTCATTGCACTACACCTCATCCACCTACTCCGTCTTGTCCTGTAGACTATAAATTCTCCATATTAAATTAATTCCCCAAGTTCTCCATTTGTTTTCACAGCCTCTAGCTGAGTTTCCTAGGTGCTACCCTCATACAAACAATAATAAAGACGGCTCTGTCCTCCTGCAAACCACTTCTGAGGATGTTCCCTCTAATTCTCTTCCTTGTTCAGCGCTGTATCATTAAAAGGCATGAGGTGGTTAATTGGAGGCTCACAGCTTTTGTGACTGATGCAAACCAGTGTGTGTGTGTGTAATTGCTTGCTGCAAACGCTCAGGTGAATGCTTTAAAAGAAAAGGGGGAGGACACAGATGGCCAGGAGCAGAAGGTTCCCTGCAAAAGGTCAGTGGAAAAGGTTAGTGACAGGGCTGCCCTGAAGCTGGAAGGAAGAACCTAATACCTGGACAACTGGTGAGGAGCCTGGCTAGAGCAGGGCTTTGTTCCCTGAAGGGGGATGCCGCTGCGAGGAGATTGTACATCAAAGCTCTCATAAGAAAACACAGCAGAGATCGGTATCACCCAGCCTGTGGCACTGGGGGAAATGGATTGGTTGACAAGAGGCCCTCTCTGGGCAGATGGCTGGGTAGGAGGTACTGGCTGCTTGCAAAATCTCGGAAGGAGCCTTTAATCTGTGTGTGATACTGTATGTTTTAGCGAGCATCTAGATGCTTATCTCGGCTGCATTAGTCACCAGGAGAGTCTGCTCTCAACCTTTCCTCTGCCATACCTCAGCTGCAGGCTTCTTCCCCCAGTTTTTGGAAGAGATGCGAGCTGCACGCTGCAAGATTTGTTGGGCTTTTTGTAATTTTGACAAGGAAATATAACAGGGACAGGTTTTCTTGGTACTGCTCTGCAGAGCATGTTTAGTGCTGTGATAGACTTTCAGAGCCTTGCCAGGGAGCCAATGGTCTGAAAAGTCTTATCACGCTCCAAAACAAATAGTTCTGTCTTGAAGCCCATTAGAATAACAACTACAAAGCTTCTCCCAACCTGATGTTAAATGCCTCCTGTGCCAAAGGTAAATAGGATCAATCACTCATCCTCCCAGGGACCCTCTGACAGCAGTCCATGAATCAAGCTTGGCTTTTGAGGTAATTTTTATCTGCTTTGGGGAGCACAAGCTGACCAAACTGTGGTCTTGCTCTGTGTGTGCAGGCTGAAGAGTGCAAGCTTGGGTCTGGCAGGGTGTGTTAATGAGGCGTATCCAGTGTAAATATATCTGTTATGATGAGGTCTGCAAAGTGGTGAGACCTGGGCGTGCAGGCTCTGGCCACCTCTGCTCTCCTACAAAGCCAATATTGCCACTGTGCATCTGCTGGCTTGGCCAAACAACAGCTTGATGCTGCTTTTCCTCCTGTGCCTTTGTACCTGCGGTGTTTTGTTTGTCTTCTTTTGACTATGCCAAAAAAAGAGCTTAGCTCAGTGGGGAAACCAAACTCCCAGCAATGCCTGAAGACTACAGACGGTGTAATAGTCTGGAGTTTTGCTAATCCAGACAGTAACATGAGCTCAGGGTGTTCAGCTGAGGTCCCACTATAACTTTGCCCATCACCCAGTGAGATTTAGAGCCTATCAGGTCATGGGCTGTGTATGCAATTAAAAAGCTCCTTTCCCCAAGGAGTTCACAGAGCAGAGACAAAATATTAACCTCCCAATTAGTTTATTGTGGCAGACTGGGACACAGAAGTCATTATCTGGGGGCAAGCTGAGACCATTCATGTGCCATTGAACTTGGAAAAGGCTTTTTTCACAACATCTGGTTTCAATCAATTTGTCATCAATTCAGTGTGCTGGACTCATTTTCTGGGACCATTAAAGTGCACAGCACTGACACGGGGCTGCAGCTGGAATCCAAACATGGGTATCCAGAGCCCTGCTACCTCTCGCTGGTGACTGTGTAGAGAAGGAGAATCTGGTGGCCAGGGTCTTCTGAATAAAGCTCCTTTGTTCATTTGAGAAAGCCTCGGGCTCATCCCCTCCTGTTGTGCCATTTCCAGCTTGGTGGTACATGTGGTGCCAGGACAGACCTCAGCAGGGATCCAGTCTCCATGAGCTGGGGAGAAGATTCATGCCAGGCCTTCTGGAAGTCTTTGAAAAGGTTCTCCCTGACATGGACCAGGCTCCTTCCCCAGCCTACCTCTGCATTTTGCTCCCAGGGCTCCAAAACCACCTTCTTGTGCAAGCAGCCAGTCGTGGCTGTGACTCTGCAAGCACTGGAACGTGCTGAGAGGAGCCTGCTTCATTTAAATGTGTGGAACCACAGCTCATGCTTTTACAGCATATATTCAGTGAAGCAATGCCTTTATCTGCAATACTTACCCTTTATCTAACATCTTCTCAGTCTAAAGCTTTTTTTTTTTGAAACACAGATTAAGTAATAACAACATAGGATAATTGAGCGCATTTTTTCACAGTGACATAGTGATACTTATCTGTGGCT